TGGACGTTCAGATGCTATGGCTATTTTGAGAAGCATCCCCAGGAGTTGTCTGACCCTAGTGACCCCCTGCATCTACTGGTCTCAGGTGAGGGGCCCCTGATCCCATCCTCTTTGAGCACAGGCAGCTCAGGGTCCTGTCTCCATGAGACATCTGAGGTTGGATGAGAGTGAGGGGTCTGAGTGTTGGTCACCCAGCAGAGATCTGCCCTCAGAGATGCTCTCACTTTTGCTGAATCCTCCCCATGAACTGGGTTGGGAAGTCGTTAAGTGGGCGGGGGGAGTGTCTTCGGGGTCACAGAGCAGACGTAGGAGAAGCGATAGAGTGATTTGGAGACTCCAGAATGAGCGCCAACCTCACCCCTTTCTATCCTCATTTCCAGGACCCTCTGGAGGCCCCAGCCCCCCACCCACAGGGCCCACCTCCACAGCTGGTGAGTCCCAGGGAGCTCTGCTCAGAGGGAGCAAGTCCTGAGAGTCTGTCAGGGGATTGAGTGACCCAGATCCTCAAGGACGGGATTGTGTCCCAGGGGTGTTGGGAGTCCCAGAGTCTGAGGCTGGTGATGGGTGGGGTGGTCATGGCAGAGGGAGGTGTGGGGGCACAGGCTGGGGAGGGGGAGCTGAGCTCTAGTGGGAGAAGGCAGCCCCGATGCCTCACCTGTCATCCTCATCCCCAAGAGGCTCTGAGTCAGGCCCACAGAGGGGTAGGTGAGTCTGTGGGGAGGTGGTGGGTTCCCCCATGGGGACAGGGGCTGAACCATGGGGGTTAAGGGGTTCAGGCCCAGCTGCATTTGCTGACTTGGACACCGCTTCCCCTGTCGGGCTTCAGTCTTATCCCCAGGAGGCTCTAAGTTGGGCCCACAGAGGGGTAAGTGAGAGTCTGTGGGGAGGTGGTGGGTTCCCCCATGGGGACAGGGGCTGAACCATGGGGGGTTAAGGGGTTCAGGCCCCTCTGGATTTGGTGATTTGGACACCCCTTCCCCCATCTGGGCTTCAGTGTCTCTAAATGAAAAGGAGAGAATCCTTGTCCAGAGCTTAGATTTCCTGACAGTTCTGGTCCTGACCTCCTGGGAGAGGGGCCTCACAGGGAAGCCCCTAGGACGTGATGGTATGGGGCCTGTCCCCTCTGTCTCAGTGATGGTGACACTGTACAGGGAGGGACAGGCAGGAGGAGGGTCCGGGCCCCCAGTCCTAGCCCTCAGCTCAGGCTCAGCTCAGAGGGGGGAACAGGGTGGATCAGCCCTGGCTCAGCTCCTGGCTCTGCTGCTCCTGCTGTGGGGCTGGGCGGTCCCTTCTCTCCTCTGAGTGTCGGGGTCCTGTCTGCTCATCCCTGGTCCCATCCTGCTCACAGGCTGCTGGGAGATGAGGTGACATTAGGGCCTCACAGAGCTCAGGAAGGCAGAGCCCCCAGTCCAGCTCCACCTTCCCATGGGGCATTTGGGCCCTGTGGGTGGGGATGGACCCGGGAGAGACTCAGAGTCCACACCACACCCTGTCCATCCCTGTCCCTGCTGTGCTGGGGGTGGGTAATGAGGAAGGACCCTCAGCTCCAGGGGAGACGTGGACAGGCACCTGCAGAGGAGTAGCCCAGAGCAGGAAGCTGGTGTCCCCCTGGGGGGCAGCGTGAGGACAGCACATGGAACCCACAGTCCTGGGTTCCAGTCCCGGTCCTGCCCAGTCCAGGCTGGGTGACCTGGGTCAGGTGATTAACACTGTCCCTGCTGTGCTGGGGGTGGGTAATGAGGAAGGATCCTCAGCTCCAGAGGAGACGTGGACAGGCCCCTGCAGAGGATGAGCCCAGAGCAGTAAGCTGGTGTCCCCCTGGAGGGCAGCGTGAGGACAGCACAGGGAACCCACAGTCCTGGGTTCCAGTCCCGGTTCTGCCCAGTCCAGGCTGGGGGACCTGGGGCAGGTGATTAACCTCTCTGAGCCTCAGTGAAGTGGGTGGTGGGGTCAGCATCCCTGGTGCATGAGGTGAGAGGAGATGAGTGACAGACCCCAGCAGGAGCCTCACACACAGTAGGTGCTCATGAAATGGCATCACTGACTCATTCATGACGTCATGAGGGGGAGACAGGCTGCCAGGTCTTTCAGGTCTGATTCCTTTCCTGGAGTTGTCCCCAAACCCTCCATCTGGGCTGACCCAGGCTCCATCGTCACCAAGGGGAGCCCCGTGACCATCTGGTGTCTGGGGTCTCTGCAGGCTAATGTCTACCTTCTGTATAAAGAGAGGGGCTCTGACCCCTTGGATACCAGGATCCCACACGACTCCAGCAACAAGGCCAGTTTCCTCACTGAAGCTCGGAACTCACCCCACGTAGGACTGTACCAGTGTGCATATTACACCACTGGTGACATAGGTTGCTGGCGTGACAGCTCCGTGAAAGGCAGGGCCAACATCCAAGTGACCAGCACCTGTGTGTCTGTCTGTCCATCCTGCTGGCCCCACAGTCTCCTTCCTCTGCTCAGCTGAGGCCACAGGGAGAAGATGCCCTTTGCCCCACCCTCAAGGCCCTGCTCTGCCTCAGTGAGAAGGGAGGAGGGGGAGGGGAACCCTGGTCTGTCAGGACCCAGGACTCAGGAGGCTCATGGGGAGGAGGGTGCTGCTCAGGGTTCAGGGCAAATCTCTCACAGGGACTCTCTTCCAGGGCTGAGTGTGGGCCTCAGGACCCCAGTGCAGGCAGGTGAGTCTCCCCAGGTTCCCAGGTCCTGCTGTTCTCAGGGGACATGGGCCACCCCCCAGGCAATAGGGGAAGGGGTGCAGATCTGTCTGACAGATGGGGGACATCTGGGACTGTGACCTGGGGACCAGGGGTGGGAATGTCCTATGACCCAGCCTCTGATTCTTTCCAGAGATCCCCAAGCCGTCCCAGGTCCCGCTGTTCTCAGGGGACATGGGCCACCCCCCAGGCAATAGGGGAAGGGGCGCAGATCTGTCTGACAGATGGGGGGCATCTGGGACTGTGACCTGTGGACCAGGGGTGGAAATGTCCTGTGACCCAGCCTCTGATTCTTTCCAGAGACCCTCCCCAAGCCCACCATCTGGGCTGAGCCAGGCCCTGTGATCCCCAGCGGGAGCCCCATGACCATCTGCTGTCAAGGAACACGAAAGGCTAAGGAGTACCTAATTTATAAAGAGGGAAGCCCAGCACCATGGAAAGAACAGAAGTCACTGAAGCCTGGGGACAAGGCCAAGTTCTCCATCACACGCATGACAGAGCGTGATGCAGGGAGATATCGCTGTTACTACCTCAGCCCCACTGGCTGGTCAGGGCACAGTGACCCCCTGGAGCTGGTGGTGACAGGTGAGAGGACACTCAGGGGTCCCAGCCTCAGGCTCTGCCCTCAGGAAGGCGGTCTGCTCTCAGGGTGTCTCCCTCTCACAGCCCAGCCCTGGGGGACATGAGGGAGGTGTGAGCCCAATTTAACATGCTGCCTCCTCCTCTCCTAGGATCCTCCAGCAAACCCAGCCTCTCAGCCCTGCCCAGCCCTGTCGTGTCCTCAGGAGGGAACGTGACCCTCCAGTGTGGCTCAGGGCAGGGATTTGACAGGTTCATTCTGACTAAGGAAGGAGATCACAGGCTCTCCTGGGCCCTGGAATCACAGCCACAGCCCAGTGGTCAGTACCAGGCCCTGTTCCGTGTGGGCCCTGTGACCCGCAGCCACAGGGGGACATTCAGATGCTACGGCTGTTACAGGAACAGGCTCCAGGTGTGGTCACACCCCAGCGATGCCCTGGAGCTCCTGGTCTCAGGTGAGGGCCCCTCACTCTGTCTTTCTGCTTGTCAGCTCAGGGTCCAGTCCTCAGAACAATCATGGGCTGAAAGGGGAGTGAGGTAGCTGTAGAGATGGTCACTTAGAAAGTATTTTTCCCTTAGCACAGCCTTATTCCTGTTCACCCCTCTCCCTCCTCTGTTGCCAGAAGGTGTCTCAGGTGGACAGTGGGAGGGTCTTAGTGTGGGAACCCCAGGCAGATGCAGAAGTCCGAGTGAGGTGGGAACTCCAGGGTCAGCCCCAGCCTCCCACCTCTCCTGTTCTCCTTCCCAGGACCCTCTGGGACCCCAGCTCTGCACACATAGTGTCCTCTTTGCTCAGATGGAGACAGACCACCCCAGGATGTCTGAGTCTCTCAGAAGATCTAATGACCCCCCATAGACCTAAGGACAGGCTTGTGTCCCACGGGGACTGGGAGTCAGGGAGAGATATCAGGGGAAGCAGAGGCCTCCAGGTTCTCCCTGGATTCACCTCTCCCCGCCTCACATGGAGTCAGGCCTTAGAGAGGGAAGTGAGGCAGGTGGCAAGTGGGGAGGTCATGGCTGAGGGAGTTGTTGGGGCTCAGGCTGGGGGAGGGGGAGTCAGGCTCAAGTGGGGAGAGGGCAGACCCTGCCCCTTGCCTTTCATCTTGATCCCAGAAAGCTCTGAGCAATGGTCCCTCCTTCCCCTCCCCCGACCCAGGGAGTCGGGCCCACAGAGGGGAATTGCGAGTCTCTGTGGGGAGGTGGTGGGTACCTCCCTGTAGGGAACAAGGGCTGAGTCATGAGACTGTTCTGGAACCTCTGAAGTCTCTCACTTGGACACGCCCTTCCCCTGTCTGGTCCTCAGTGTCTCCAACTATAAAAGGAGAGAATCCTTGTCCAGAGCTTAGATTTCCTGTCAGTTCTGGCCTTGATCTCCTGGGAGAAGGGCCTCACAGGGAAGCCCCCAGGACGTGATGTTATGGGGCCTGTCCCCTCTGTCTCAGTGACGGTGACACTGTACAGCGAGGGACAGGCAGGGCAAGGGTCCGGGCACCCAGTCCTACCCCTGAGCTCAGGCTCAGCTCAGAGGAGGGAACAGGGTGGAACAGCCCTGGTTCAGCTCCTGGCTCTGCTGCTCCTGCTGTGGGGCTGGGCGGTCCCTTCTCTCCTCTGATTGTCGGGTTCCCTTCTGCTCATCCCTGGTCCCATCCTGCTCACAGGCTGCTGGGAGATGAGGTGACATAAGGGCCTCACAGAGCTCAGGAAGGCAGAGCCCCCAGCCCAGCCCGACCTTCCCGAGGGGCCTGCAGGTTGGAGATGGACCCGGGAGAGACTCAGAGTTTATGCCACACCCTTCCCCTCCTTTCCCTGCTGTGCTGGGGGCCGGTACTGAGGAAGGACCCTCAGCTCCAGATGATACGTGGACAGGCCCCTGCAGAGGAGGAGCCCAGAGCACGAAGCTGGTGTCTCCCTGGGGGGGGGCAGTGTGAGGACTGCACTGGGAACCCACAGTCCTGCGTTCTAGTCCCGGCCCTGCCCATCCAGGCTGGGTGACCTGGGGCATGTGGTTAATCTCTCTGAGCCTCAGTGAAGTGGGTGGTGGGGTCAGCATCCCTGGTGCATGAGGTGAGAGGAGATGAGTGACAGACCCCAGCAGGAGCCTCACACACAGTAGGTGCTCATGAAATGGCATCACTGGCTCATTCATGATGTCATAAGGGCGAGACAAGCTGCCAGGTCTTTCAGGTCTGATTCCTTTCCTGGAATCATCCCCAACCTCTCCATCTAGGCTGACTCAGGACCCATCATCACTAAGGGGAGCCCCTTAACCAGCTGGTGTCAGGGGTCTCTGCAGGCTAGTGCCTACGTTCTATATGAAGAGAGGGGCTCTGAGCCCTGGGATATGAGGATCCCACAGGACTCAAGCAACAAGGCCAGTTTCCTCACCAAGAGGGCAGAGAGGAGCTGGGAGGGGTCACAGACAGTGTCTCTGGAGAAGGACAAGGTCCCTCAGCTCAGGGTCAAGGGCATGAGGGGAGGGGTGGCTCTTTATACATCACAACCTTCCTCTCCACAGGAATGTACACGAAACCCTCCCTTTCAGCCCAGCCGGGACCCTCAGTGCCCTGGGGAGCGACCGTGACCTTGCAGTGTGTGTCTGAGATCTGGTTGGACACCTTCCACCTGCACAGGGAGGGGTCACTGGACCCTCCCCAGCACCTCAGTCTGCAGGACACCTTTGCACCCTCTCAGGCCAACTTCACCCTCAATTCTGTGAGCTCAGGCCACCAGGGGACCTACAGGTGCTATGGCTCACACAGCACCTCCCCCTACCTGCTGTCACAGCCCAGTGACCCCCTGGAGCTGCTGGTCTCAGGTGAGGAGCCTGACCCCGTCCTTTCTGTGCTCAGTCAGCTCAGGGCCCTGTTCCTAGGAGTGTGGGTGACAGTAATAAACAAGGAGGTGGAGGAGGTTCCACAGAGCAGAGTCCAGCCCAGGAGAGAGTAGAGACAGACAGGACCTCCCACTCCTGAACCCATTTGTGATCCTCAGCATAGATGAAGGGTATGGAAGGCGAGTAAGATGTGAGTGAAATGAACAGGAATATGATTAGACTGAGCAGAGAACACAGACCCCCCACCACTCACCTCCTGACGTCTTCATCTCAGAATCTGGGTCCCTGTAGTCCCAGCCCCGAAATACTCCCCTATAGAGAAGCATCCTGCCTGTGGGCACCACACTGCACGGCCCCCTGTGCTCACCTGGAGGCCTCCAGGCCCTCAGTGCTCACCTGAGAACAAGGAGGGACCCTGCAGGGCTCATGGGGACCTGGGGCCTCCTGCCCGGACTCCGTGCATTCCCCTCTGCTCAGTGTCTCTGTGCACACGGGTCTATTATGGCTCTTTTTAGAGAACCTTCAGGCAACACTTCAGTCTATAAGCTCACAATTTAACTTATATTATGTGGAGTCCAGATAGAAATATAAATTTCCTATTCCTCTTTTCAATGGGAGTAGATTAAATTCACACATTTTTATGAAGAATAACTTCTCATTTATATAAAGTCTTCTTATCACACACATTTGAAAATGAGCTTTATGCATGAACCTTAGAAGCATGCTACCTATTTGTAAAATTGAGTCAATGCACAGCCCACTTAGAGAATTGCACACCTAATATTGTAATTTGTGAGTAAGCGGTGTGATTCCTGTAGATTTTCTAAATGGTAGTAAGTGCACATAGGAAAGCT